AAGAATAATAATAAGAAATTGTATTAATTAACAATTAGAGAGAAAATGAGAAATTCTAATTAAAATGTTTCAATATTAACTTATGATTACTATTGCATTTTATAACAGATTTGTTTAATTCATTTATTTTTTGATATTGATTGCATATTGAAAAGGTACGGTAAATTTCTTTTTGTAGCTTTTAGTTCAAATACATTTCACAATATAATAATGGTAAAAAAAAGAGATCTTGGCTAATGACGTACGCAATTAAATTGAAATTACGACATTTATGAATTGAAAACAATGAGGAGAAAGAAATTCGCCGTTCAGAATTGGTACAATCATGAGAAAACAAACGAATCCTGAGAAATGTTACACATTATTATTATATTCTTCTTTATCTCGCTTCAAGAACATACTCAGACAAATGTTTCTTGAAATCCCATTATGTTTCTTTTTATTTTCGGTTTCTACTTCTATAAATACGCGTTTATCTACAATTTCCTTTATTTTATTGCACAACCCGAAAATGTAATTGCATCATAAATGTACATCCATTATGAGCGACCGAAGCCCACGTTTCCAAACGTCTAAAAATACCAGCGTGTTTGTTTTTCCTGTAAATTGTCACACATATGAGACTTATTACGAAGATCGTTCGAGCTTTAAAACTACTTCTTACATCCTTCCGACGCGCCACTTCCGATAACGTACAAGTGTTCAACATCGTCTGGACTGGAGTATCTTAAATGCGGACAACAAGCATGTACAAAAATACGCGATCAATTCGAAGCACGTGCCTCAACAGATTTATTTAACTGGAGACAATCATATAGGAAATTCCTGCTGTTTTCATTAGACTTTTGTGCACGTTTTATTACAGGAGATCTGTTTTTCAACAGACATTTGTAGAACGATTTATGTAAACCAATACAGCGATTATTGATAATATTTATTAAGTTCATCGAATCAAGAGTAATTTTCATTGAAAACGTATTATATTTAATGACTGCTAAGTTTCAATCGATATTAAAAATACATTACGGCAAGGTCAATAGTTTACAAATTATTGATTCTGCTATGATTTTTTCTGTTAATTAATATATCAATTACTATTATACATTTTGTTACAATAGAAATTAAGTTAGTTTCATCAATTTGTATGGTAACTTAATACTAATATAATTTCTTAACACTATTGCAAAACATATGAATATGAAGAATGTAGCACACTGAAAGGAAGTGACGTATTGAAACCAAAATCCATTAACTAAAAGGAAAACCACGTTTCCCTTAATAAACAACAACAAATAACCACAAAAGAATAATATAAAATATGCCAGAGATTCCAAACACGAACAATGACCTACTAAATAACAAAATTTTGAAATATTAATATTAAGATTTTTTTTTTAAGAAAGGAAATCTTATGTAAAATAACTCAGTAGATTAGATAATAAAACATTTTGGATTTAACAGATATTTGAGATTAAGATTTGCTTAAAACTACTACATAAATTTAGAAACTCATACACAAAATCACATTTTTAATGATTTTAAAAGATAATCTATAATTTTTCTTTGTAAAAATATTTTTTTGATTTGCAGATTCAATTCTTTTAAAATAAGTAAACACTAAGACGGCCGCGACCACGATTAACCCGAACCACGGTAAATTGAGACACTGATAATCCACGTTTTACTGTACCTTTTATAATAAATTTTGTTCATTAATTTATTGTTTATTGAATGAACAAAATGTACATATATTTGATATTTAATAAAAACATTAATTATGAATTCAATGATTTGTAACATTATACGTTAATTAATTGTTGACAGATTGAAAAAGTGTAATCATTACGATATGTTATTAATACCAAACTGCAATTACTATAAAAGAAAACTGTGGTACTTTTGAGTATAATTGCTAGGAAACTGAAAAACTTAGGAATAAAAGTTTTTTAACAAGTACTTTAGCTCTTTGAGGGACGGATGTATTATAATTTTCTAGGAAATGTCCAGAAAACAGGATCCTTTCATTTGCTTAGTATGTCAAAGGATGAATCCTGATAGGCCACACCATCCGATGTTGATTCAGTTGTCTAGAAATTTGTTGGGTCTAAAAATTTAGGAATTTCTGGACCTTCAAAGACTGAAATGAATGTTTACGTATTTTTGTCTTCTATCTTAATTTATTATTATTTAATGAAATTGCATATCAAAACACGTTTGTCATATTATATATGCATTTCTTAGGTGAAAACAAAAATACTGGAGTATGTTCATTTTTATAAGCATAACATTTACAAACCAGTTCATGAATTAATGACCAACCAATTAAATATCAAGTCTAGCTGTGCAATAAAACATACACACAAACTGTCATGAATCGATGATAGAAAGTGAAGTGTAATTGTAACATGCGCCGAAACATCAAGAGTGGGTTGAAACAGTCCTATCGATTCTGTAAATAAATGATGGAACTGTGCATTTATACATCCATTGATTAAAACGAAGCTGGATTCTGATTGGTTAACTGCAACATGAATGGAAAATACCGTCGATTCGAAATAGGTAATCAAAATTGTAAAACCTTAACAACTAAATGACTTTCACATGATGATTCCTACACCAATTAAACGATTCCTATTCAGACTGTTAATTTCCATTTTATGGATAACATACTACCGATAATCGATATACTGAGACGAGTTTACGTGATTCTGGAGTAATTTATGGATATGCAATTCGCATCCAATTGAATCGCGGATCTTGAAAATAATATTAAAAAGATGTAATTAATTTCCTTCTTAATTGTAATTATGTGATCAATTTACGGTCATTATTGAGTACCAGTCGCATCGAGAGAGAAATCAGATTCAATTTTAGGAATTTCATTAGTTTAAGCACCAGCGCATCAACGTAATGACGCTGTTTCCTTTTCCAATTCGAGACGAGCAAATAATCATCTCACGTATAATTAGTTTAATCACCGATAATTATCTAATCATCTTTTAATATTCATTCTTTTCGCAGAACAAATATACGTATATTTAATTAATTTCAATTTATACGCAACTTATTTCATATGATTATGATATGATTATGTTAAAATAAAATTTCAAATATATTTTGTATGTAAATTTGTTGACTTTTAACATGAAATTTAATACTTGATACTGAATCTAAATTTTCATTTTTTTCATAACAGATTAGTGAATAAAATTATCAAAGTTTATCTAATGAAATTCAAATAACATACAACTTTTTTAATATTTTTTTTTTAGAATTTGTGTATTATAATGCATTGTTGCATATATAATTAAATAGAATTAATAAAATTATGCAACAATTACAAAATTTGTTGATCCTTGTGGAAAATCTTCTAATGTTAATAAATTATAGATTGAAATGACTTCAACAAAATTGTATTTTATTATTATACATATGTATGAATATTAGTTTTTTATGGTAAGTTGGATGAAAAATTTAATGTCTTGAAAATTATAATTTAACAATTTATAAAAACATAATCTTTTTTACAATATTTCGATTACACACAAATGTAATATTAGTTTTATTAAAATTATCATTCTGGACTTAAAACATAGATTTAATTGCATTTAAAATCAGTTATTAGATTTAGTTAATTACTGTAAAATGATTTAAGTATCTTATCTAAAGGATAAATATAAAATTCATGTTAGATAGTGTATTAATATAATTCAATGTAATACAATAATATTTGTAATGCATAAGTTGATATTACTAATATGTAAATATGACCTTGTTTTGAGCTTGAGTATTCGTCATAAGTTTAAAAATCATCAAAATGTTGGATGTGAAACAATTTAATAAAAAAAAAGTCGTATAGTTATTTATTCGATTTTGCGGCGTGGATTTACTTTTGTGGCTTTGGTTACATTAAAATGTATTTACCGCAGCCGATAATCCATGAGTCACCTGGGGTGTGCTCATATAGTTATTCTCCTTGCTTTTGGCCACCGAAGTGTGCCTTCAACTTACTCACATGGCCAAGGGAATTGCCTCTTTTTTTTATAATACTCTTTATTTCGGTCGTTGATTACCTCAGGGTCGGACTGAATCGAAGCGTGTTGCATTCGTGAATTGTATTACAACAAAAATGAAAAAACAAACAAAAAGAATACAAGTGCCGCCCACGATTTCGGTCTTGCTATTGATTCATGTAGAAAAGGAATAGATAAGGGAATTGTATTGAATTAATGGAAGGATTTATTCCGAGTTCGATGTGTGTCGCAAACGCGAAATTAAGCATAATATTTCTGATGCAAATCAGTGTTGATGAGGAAAGCTAAGGCCAAAAGGAACGAGCGACGTGGCGCATATATAACTATAGTGACTAAACGCAACTCGCGGCTATTTATAAATTTTACAAATTAAATAAATTAATTATGATCTTGTGAGTGCTTCTCAGAAAATGGTCGCGTCGTGAAACGAGACCAGAATATTGACACGGAAAATGGTAGTTTTGTGTAGATGATGAGTTGCGGACGGAAGACGTCCAGATATTATTGTTGCAGGGGGGTCATTTGATGAATAGGACGTATTGATTTAATGCCACTATCAGTTTCAACATCCTGTACTGATACGGCGCAAATAAGTTCACAGAGAGATCACACAGATCGAATACCTCTAGATTCACATATTTAATATATATATGTA